TAATTACGAAGAGCGATATAATGAGAGTGATGGGTAAAGACACTTCCTTGAAACGTCCAACCTGAACGTTGAATGATCCAGTCATACTAAAAATTTATTAAAAATTATTTAGAAGGAAGGTGACTCTTAAATATTCCTCGATGTTTATTTTACTTTTTTTTTTTCCACTCCTTATATCTTATTTTGTTCTTACGTTATTTATTTATGTTTCTGTATATAGAGGGTTATAATTGAAAACCCTCCTATTCCAATTACTCTTCACAATCCAATCAGACGCTGGTTAACTATGTATTATGTAACAAGGATAATTTTTTATTTATTTTTTTTTCCTTTTCATTGCACCATTATTTTATTTTAGTTTTTGTTTATTATTAATGAATTGGAAAGATCCTGTATTACTTTTGGCATAGCACTGTGAACAAGGGATTGTTTGTTGTTTTTATCCATTTTTTTTTTTCAAAAATCTACAAGACTGTATATATTTTAAATGTATTTCTTCGTTTACATTCCTCAAATGTATATATATCTTTCCTATCTTAATGTCCGTCTTTGTTTATGGTTTACAATATCATTGCGTAGTGTATTACATATATCAAGAATTTGTTTTCTTTTATATATTTTTTTTCTTCTTTTGTCGCAATTATTTTCTCATACAATTAATTTAATACCCCTTCCTAATTGTATGTAATATTGTAATCCCGTTGCTCATCCTGTGTCATTAATATACCTTTACTTTTGTATGCTTAAGCTGTTTATATTTTATCATAAAAAGCCAACACTTCTTATTTAAGTACTTTTGATATTTTTTCTTTTCCAGAGGTTTTAGTTTTTCTTTCTATACATGTAACTTTTTTTCTTTTCTTTTTTCAAATACAATTATAAGTATTTTTTTAAAAAAAACTTATTTATTGAAAAATATTACAATCTGTCTCTAGGACATTTATAATAGAGTTCAAAGATTACATTCACACTATATGTACAATAAATAAAATAAATTATACAGGAAAATAATATATATATACAATAAATAAGAATGAAATAACCTAAAAATAAATAAATAAAAAGAAAACGTACGCACCTATATACAATTATAAGTATAGTTGAAAATATTTTATTTTATTTTTTAGTCATTTATATACTATTGTTTAAGTTGTTGTATGTATTCTTTGATTCTTTATTATGTTGGTTTTTGGCCTGATATGTATTTTTTCTTTTGTAACTGTTCATTATCGTTATTCTAAGGGGACATCGTCCCAGAATAAAGTTTACTTTCTATTTATATATACGGTGTGAATGTACTCTCTGAACTCTGTTATAAGTGTCCTTACTTAACTGAGACAGATTGTAATATTTCTCAATAAAAATGTTTAAAAAAAAAAAAAAAATATTCCGCAGTGATCCAGTCGAAATAGGAGAAGTGTGTCACTTCTGGATATAGGAGTGACAGGACAAAATATGATATGAATTTAAAATTATATTTTATTTTATATAATAAAATTATATATTTTAAATAAAAATAAATGGAGCGATAGCAGAAGGGTGTCATCAATTTGCTGCCATTTGGCGTCTTAAGAAACGTTTATAAAAAGAGGGCACTGTGGTTGCTGTACCTGCTTTTCATCTGACAATGGAAAGTATTATCCCGTTAGCAACATTATTGAGGAAAGAAAAAAAATATGTATGTCTAAAGAAATAGAGTTGACCTAAAACTCTAGCATTAATAAATAATGAACCGACGGAGAATGTTAACGTGTATGTCAAAAAGATCGCATCTTGTCAGCAAAGTTTAATCCCTGATAACAGATACAATATGGCTATGAAAATTTAACAACTTTCATCTTCTAAAAAATGTATTTTTACTTTATAAAAATATTTAATTATGACAAAATTATGTTATTAATTGATTTTTATTTTTTTATTATTTATTTATTTTAAATGATATTTACAACTGTATACAAAAAATACATCTGGTAAATTCGCACATGGATATAATGACATGAAACACATGTTGAGAAACTACCCATTGGTAGCACTCAAATAATATGTCTATATTAGAAGATCACGTGGCCATCTTCTTTTCAGACGCCTCGGAGGGTTATCAGGAATCGAATATGAAGCAAGGTTAGAGACAAGAGGGTTGGGATGGTTATGAAGTTTATTATGGAAGGACAGATATCTGGATTGGGCCAAATCTGATACATAAGGAACATTAAGGTCATTATGGATAATTTTATTTGTAACAAAGTAAGGAGCATTGAGGATTTTACGAAGGATTTTGGATTGTAAGGATTGGATGCGAGAGGAATTTGAAGGTTTGGTGGAGCCCCATAGCTCAACTCCGTAAGTCCAAATAGGCCTTATTATAGTCATGTAAATGAGTCTTTTATAATTGATTGGAAGGTTAGAGCGTTTGTCTAGTAAGTGTTGAAGTAGTCGGAAACGTCGAGCTGTTTCTTGTCGTTTCAGTCTGGTATGAGGATTCCAAGTTAGACGTTTGTCCAGATGGAGTCCTAGGTAACGGATTTGTTCAACAGGAATAAGTGAGGTGTTGTTAAAGGATACAGAAGGACAGGAAGTCATTGGTTTACGACGAAGGGTGAAGGTAATTTGATGGGATTTATTGGAATTTATTTTAATTCTCCAGTTCGACACCATTCTTCAAGGTTTGTGATGTGGGATTGAAGGGTTTGGGATGCAATAGATGGGTCGTTATTAACTGATAGGATACATGTGTCATCAGCATATGTGGTGATGACAGTGTTGGGATTGGTTGGGATGTCAGCTGATAGTATTAATTGAAAAATCAAAACTATCAAGCCATTGGTCTCCAATAAGGTTTTGGCTTCGTGGCTTGGTAGTTTGGATTTTTCCATTAATAACATAATTACCTTATGTCTCTTTTCCAGTTTTATGTTTTGTTTTTTTTTAATTATGACAAAATGTTAAAGATGGATAAAAATTACAAAGAGGTGGTTATTTAATTTTTATTATTCTTTATTTAAAATTGATAGCATTGCACAAAAGAAATCGTACATGGAGATGAGCCAAGAATCCGAAACTGTGAAAATAAGAAAATAAATAAATTATAAATTAATTTGCCTTATAATATGAAATAAAAAACCGTTAAATATGAAGTAATAAAACATAAAATAAATATCTAAAACATAAGAAAAAAAATCTCTAAACATAGAATAATACAACATTTGCACTAATGGCCAACAAAATATTTTGAACTAAAAAAGTTATTGGGGGAATGATTAAAAATAAAATAAAAATTTCTTTATATGTATATATATATATATATATATATATATATATATATATATATATATATATATATATATATATATATATATATATATATAAATAATTTAAAAATTACGAAAACAGAAGACGAAAACTAAAACTAAATATTTATTAATGGTTAAAAACATAATATGAAATACTCTCCAAGAAATAAAATATTAAAGCAATACAAACTTACAATTAGTAACAAATAAAAATGACAATATGTAGTTGTGTAAAAAATGATAACCGGCAATATTAAACGAATGAAAATATTTTAACGTTAACACGTTAACGAAGATAAAAATAGTTAAAACAGAAATTTATTAACACACGACCCTATATATTATTTCTAAAAGGTGTTTTTTTGTCGGTACGCCATAACTTCGTCAATTCTTCACCAAATCCAATGATTGACCACTCATTTTGAAGATATTCTTTTTCTTCACATCAGAAAAATAGTCCTATCCTCCCGAAATTTCTGAGGAAAATGTTATGAAGGAAAACTCACTTTATTTGTTAATAACTCAAAAAGTATGCATTTTTTTCTGATAGTACCCATGATAATTAGAAAGATTACTAAATTACCTACAAAACAAAAAAAATCGTAAAAATCGGACAATTATTAACAAAGATACAGTCCATTAGTTTTGGTATACTTAATAATGTCTTCCTGTTTAAAGATATTGCATTTAGGAGTAGAATAGTCTACTACACTTTTTTTCCTGGCTGATATATTAACTTTATTATTTCTTAAAGACATTTGGTTGTTCTTACATTTTATTTTTTTTAATAATTTAGAAAATCCCATGATCGGGGCATTATTTGGTTTTATTACTTTTATTATCTTTCCAGTCATTGTTTAAAAATAGGTCCTAGCAAAGCAATTTGTACAAATATTTTGGTCTATTATTTTAAATGGGATATTGTAATCGACCAAGGGAAAAATACTGATTCCTTCCTAACATAATACATAGGATGTACTTATTTCCATATTGTTTTTCTATTTCTTCACTAAACAAAATTGTCTGCGAATTATTCGCATGGGCCAACTGGTTTATACATTGTGTAAGATACTTATTAAAATATTAATGGTATAGAAATTTAGAAATATAAGAAAATTAGCAATAATGTTAACTAAAAAAAATAATTTAGGTATGGATATTTTTGATGAGGTTTTTTTTTTTTTTTTTCGTTTCCAAGGTTGCTTTTAAATGTATTATTTTTAATTATTATTATTTTCTATTATAAAATAATCAAAATATGTAGTTATGTGCATTAATCATCAAATATGCATTATAAAAATTGACTAATTATTTCTGTCCAGTTTTGTAAAGATATTTTATCAACACTTTATAAACTAAATACAAACAAAATATGCAATTCCGTAAAAAATTGGTGAGAAATGTCGTTTCACTGTTTTTTTTTTTTATTTATACCTCAAAATTTCTAGCATTTTTATCATCAGAACCTGATATCAAAATTCTGAAACCATAGCTGAATTCATCAAAGCAAAATACAGAGTATACAGTCAAAAATATTCAACAGGGAGGAAAAGAAACTATTAAAATGTCCCACCGTAATTTCCATTAAAATTCATGCATAATTCATAGCCATAAATAATTATTTATAGCCACGATTTTTTTTTTCTAATTTCTTTTTCTTGTTTGTGTTTGCTATATTGTGGGATGGGATGAGAACTGATGATTTAACTGCTAGTCAATAAACCGTTGGACGAATGAGATCACTCCATTGTTATCAGTCAGCTTATAGTAGCGGGACAGTCTTTGCCAGGCTCGCGGAATACGATACACCAACCTACATCTTCTGAAACCGCTAACTCTTCCTTGACAGACATAGCCGTGCAGCCTGCTTCTAACATTTGGAGGAGAAAGGGAGATTAAGCTCGCATCCCATCGGATGTTTTCTATATACAATAAAATCTCAAAAAATGAATGAAGATAATTCATTCATTACTTATAAGTTACACGGAAGAGAAATGCCACAACTTATTTTTGTGTGCCCATCTTGAGTTTCTAAAGAAGAAACTATTAAATCTTGCGATCCTATTATATTTTGTGTGAAAGTAACTATTCGTAGCTAAAATGAATTTCATACTTATGCGAGCTGATAAAAAATGGTTACACAATCTAATAGATCTAATTCAATAAGATCATAGGAGCTACGAATAGACTACATTTTTTTATACTTGATGCAGCCTCTGATGAATAGGAGGTAAAAAGTAGAGGAAAAACCTTGAGAAGCAGCTGAGGTCGTAACACGTTGAGAGGATGTGGTCAACATCATGATATGATTACTATATTTTAAGAACCAGCTCTGACTAACTGCCGTGGACTTCCTATCGGAGAACATTTCGCGTTTCATATGTTTACGAAAACTCGGACTAAAAAAAATAACAGTTAAAAATGAGGATAAAAAATCGGAACAGCTGTGTATTTCTATTTTATTGACGTTGTCCGGAAAATAATTCAGGATATCATGTTCTCTTTATAATAAACATAACCGCAGACTTTTCATTCTGGTTGGATTGAGCGATGAACCCTCCCCCCACACCTAAAAAAAAAAAAAAGTGTCGGGATATTATTTTACGTATAAAAATTATGAGTGATAATCAACATAATTATTGTAAAACGGACAATATAGTACTGCATATAAAAATAAATTTATATATATATATATATATATATATATATATATATATATATATATATATATATATATTATATATATATTTATATATATTTATAAATTAGTTGATTTTTTTTTTAGTAGAGATATATTTGAAAACACGTTAACAAAACGCTTTAATATATTACATTTTTATTTTTATTTAATGGTTTGTGGCATTGAGGTAAACTCTCCGATGGTTCAAATTGGCCGCTGAAAATGTGGTAAATTCTTCATGTAAAATTGGAATGGTGCGCATGAATGAATTATAAAATCATCGGATATATAATATAATACAAATCATTATCTTTGATGTATGCCTACTTCTAGGCATTAGCTTAGCCATCTAGTCGACTTTTCCTACTTCCTTAATTGATTTTAGTTCACATATTTACAGTCTTTATCTAGCACTTCCCATTCCTACAATCTTCCTCGCAGGTTAAATTAAAATGGCAGTCGCCCTGTGACCTTTTGTAACATGTATATATTGGAGTTCTGGCAATGGCCAGATTCTCCACTCAAGTCATGAGTGTCTGTGGCTGTAGGGCCCTTACTCAGCCTCTGCTGGCTTTTAATACCAGTAAAGTGGTTGAGGGAGAAGCATAGAGATCTCCTGAAGCCCCGCTTTTCCCTCCACAACTGAGAGGACAAGTCTGGTTTGGAGTTCCTCTGGCCGATTGTAAATAGTATATATGCCTGCGTCTAAGATGTTAATTTTTATTTTTTAAAAACATTTTATTATATTTTATTTCTGTTTTATTATTATTATTTTCTTTCCTCATTATGATATTTTATTTTGTTCTTATTTCGCTGGATATTATTTTGTTATAACCTTATTTATTTATGAGTCTGTAAATATGGTGTGAATGTGCTCTCTGAACTGTATTATAAGTGTCCTTAACTGAGATATATTGTAATATTTATCAATAAACAAAAAGTTCACAAATTTTATTCATTCATCTATATTAGTTGTTATTGATTTTTATTTTATTTTTGGAATAAAATCTTTGGAATACTAAGGGGGGCAAACGATATTCTCGCCCCCTACTTTTATTGGAGGGGGAAACGCCCTTTTCCCCCTCCGAAGTCTGAGCCTATGATAATAACCCTCTATATAACAAATTACGTTTGAGGGATTACTCTTTTGTATAGGTGCCAACAACTATTAATCCTGTTCCAAAAAAAAATTATTTTTTTTTCTGTAACATTTCACTATTTGGAAATAATTCAGTCATTACTAGGATGTCGATATATGTTTATTTTAGGCTTCTATAGAAATAATTGAGGACTCGTCGGTGTTTTTTTTTTTTGTTCTATTTGTGATTTTTCGTATATTTTTTATACTCTAAGTGCTCGGTTCTAAACGTTGTGTGTTCGATTCCCATCTTGGTCGGTTAATTTTCATTTCTCGGCGGTCCCGAGAAACGGATTTTGACATTCCCACTCTGGTAAGTACGCGGCGGTAACCTCAACATAGCCATCAAGTGTTGGCGAAAATGACCACGATAGAACCCTCTTGCCAGACAAGTTCCTCTCACCATGTACCACTCGTTATAATGTTTTTAAATTATTTTTACCCTATCTCTCATTGCTTTATTTTTAGAATAATCTAATTTTGTCACACTAACTTAAAAAGCACCACTTACTGTACAAAAAGATAATTTTTACGTAAAAATAAGTGAATGAAACCGAACATTTTAATTGACCTCTGTGGCACAATGACGAAATCTGGTTTTACGTGATCAATGATACAGCCATTTTAAGTAATCACTATGACAAAATTAGTAATGATCTATTCTAGATTTTAATACTTTTTTATATTGATTACAAAAATTTTATAGAAAAAGAAGAAAAAAATAAAAACCTACCATTATACGTACATTGGTTTAAACCGTTACATTCGCCCAGGAAGCGTTTAAGGCAAGTAAAGTGGTTTCCCACCTTAGATCGCTCTTATTTTTTTATCTCTTTTTTTTTGTGAGAATGCGTTGCTTCAACTGAACCCTTAAACGGAATGTTACAAAAACACGTAAGTCAAGTATCCTGGTCATAATTTTTTAATTTCTGAATGGAATTTTTCTAGTTCAAAGAAAATCAAAACATAAATATTTCTTCAAAACGAGATTATTAATAAATTTAAAAGGTATATTTTGGATATCATGAAACTGTTTATCCTTATCATAGCACGATATGTTCAACCTTAACATCACTGTTATTTATTTAATTTTAATTATTATGTAATTTAACTCATGGTAAAATGTCAATCGGTAATGAACAACTGCCGCGTTAAAAAAGGCTAATTGAAGGTTGGGAATTATTAATAAGGGTCCCCTCATTATGTTTTTTTGGTGGACCAAAACCACGAGGAAAACTTAAACGATCCTTTTTTAATTTTCAAAATTACCAATAATTTCTGTTTGTTTAACGAGGAATAATGACATGCTTAACTAAAAATGGCAGGGTTTACGGACTGATCTATGTTATTATTATTTTTTTTAACAGGCATAGGTAATTTCTGATAGAATGTTTGGGATACGGAATTACTAATGCTTTGAGCTATTTAAAAATAATCGATAGTTTCTAAACATATCGATGTATTAATTCGACAAAATATCGATATCATTGATAGTTTAGTTTAGAATAGTTTTAGATCTTTAAAAGAAGGGAACGCTTTTTTAATCTTTAACATTGAATTGAAATCTTATATTTTGCAGAAGGTTTAATAACAACAATTTAATATTTATACATTGCTTACCTCGAACAAAAGTATCAATTTATTATCATATGTCAGTAAAAAAAAATTAAAAAATTGTATTACTGAGAAATATAAGAAAAAATTAAATTACATAAAAAAAAAAATTAAAAATGATGGAATTAAATCAATATTGAATGAACCACCTAAAACCTATTAAAGTATTAACACTTATCATTAAAAATTGTATTCCTAACAACTAGCTAAACAATTAATTCAACTGTTCAACATAAAAGTATAAGGAAAAAATTAAATTAATAATTAGTGAAACCTATCAAACTTATCAGCACTTTTATTATAAATCAAAGGAAAAAAATATCACTAAAATAAAAACACCCGTCGGCTACTGTTTAAAAATACTACCATTTTGATGTGCTCACTAGTCAGGTGGTTTCCTTATACACAGACATTTTATTTCTGTTTTTTTTAGAGTTTATTTATTTGTTAGTGGAAAAAAAAAACGCTTTGAGATTACAAGCTACTTCGATATTAAAGCTATTTGATGAAATTTATATATATGTATTTTTTAAATATTCCTAGTTAAGAGTGCGTTTTGGCTCACAATAAATTGCTGTAGCTCATAGTTTGACTAAATAAATTCAAATGCGGTAGGAAACCTGTCTTCAAATAATTTTTTTTTATTTTTTTTTTAAATCTTTTTATTGAGAAATAATACATTTTGCCACATTTAAGGGCACTGAGTACTAAAGCTGAGTGAGGCCCATTCATATATACAATACAATAAAAAAAAAAATAAAAATAAATAAATAAAAAATAAAAATATATATCTATATAACAAAGGTAAAAACTATAAAACCAAAGAAATGTAACTTGAAATCAAATTTAAAAAAAAAAATACAGAAATTGGTAGCAAATTAAATAAGTCATAAGTAAAACAAATAAATAGATAAAAAAGAAAAACATTCATACTTAATTACAATATTTACATCAAATAATTAAAGTGCTTCAAAATAAGGTGTCATTTCCCAAAAACAGATGAGCTATTTGCTACTACAACAATTATTTCCTAAACTCAATTCGTCTCCGATCAAACTGAATCTACTGTTCATTTAGAAACGAGTGGCGATATTTATATACCTAAATACAGAACTTAACTTTGTTCACTGGAAAAACATCCCAATAATGCTGGTCTTAGAAGGAAACAGCACGAGTGAGAAAAAAATCGCACTTCGTTTTAAAATCACAAAATTTAAAAAGAAACTTATAACAATCACATTGTTTCTTATTTGGTTAAAATTAATTACAAATAAACAAGAAATTATTCTTGTTTCAATAAGCTATGAGCGTATACTTAATATTCCTGTCGGGGCTAGGACGATCTGCTATTATCTGGGATTGTATCATTATAAAGCAATCAAAGATCCTTGCTTTTCAAGCACGTCAATCAAATATCGCAATGCAACGGGTTTTTTTCAGCCTGAATTAAAACCAACATCTACGATTCCCATCAAATTACATTTATCCTTCGGTGGTAACCTTCTACGTTATATTGTTATCCATGCTTTAATGAGTTTACTAACGGCAAAACTATTTCTAGCTCAACGAGCCTTGAAAAGCTTATAGTGACCAGAGACTAGGCAATAAAAAACTAATTACTTATATTTAAATCAAGAAGCCATATTTTCTTTGGCCATTTTCCCTGTGTTAGGTTTAATGGCTTGTGCTAGGTTTTTTTTGCCAAGTTTCGATTATTATTTGTTTTCACCCACTAGCGGATCCAGGATTTAATTTTTTTCGGAGAGGCTTTAGTCCGAAAGCTTTTTTCCATAATGATAATTACTTTGGAAAAAAAGAAAGAAACTAACTACCTATTTGAAATGGTGTTTAAATGACTCCTAAAGTCCTTTTAAATTTAATTACACGAACAATAATACTTTAAGAGACAATTTTATTATATTTTTTTCCATAAAAAATAGTTATATTTTACCATTTTGGGGGAGGGGGCTTCAGCCCCAAAGCCTCCCCCCTCTAGATCCGCCCGTGTTTCCACCCCCTCCCTTCTCAAATACAACTCAACAGCATTTTTGATAATATATTAGTAAATAAATATCATTCTCATTTTAATTACTGTTCAAAAGAAATAAACTGAAATAAATATTTTTTTATTTTACTGTATTATGTTAGAAATTAGTTGCTCTGGCTTTGGCCTCTGAAATTGTTGAGGGTCGCTCAGTGTTTGTCTAAACGTTATTGCAACTGATTCATACAACTTAAATACAAATATTTGACGTTTTGAATTATTCGTTGTTATTGAGTACAAATGATAATGCGCCCCTCCCCACAACCCGCTAGTGCAGTTATGTAAGATTTTAAGATATATATATATATATATATATATATATAGTGTAGTGTTGCCCAAAATTGGTCTTGAACTTTGCTATACCGCCTAACTATTGCAAGACCTAGACCAACACTGGTAAAAAAAATCGATTTTAAAAATAAAAATTTATGCAAAACAGTTACTAATATAAATAATCGATTATTTAAAGAAAAATTAAGGCAAAATAGCTACTAATACTTGACAATCTTAGTTACTATATGTAAAGAATTGATATAACCAATATAATTTTGCAATTAACCCTTCCAATTTTTCATTCGGGCTTAATTAGATTTCTTCTATCTAAAAAAATACTGTAATATCTCTTAAAGTAATATGTTAATTGGTAACTGCAAGACTATTGCGAGACTCTTGCGCAAGATCAAGACCAGGACTAAGACTGAGTGCGCAGGACCAAGACTCGTCTTGGTCTCGCATTTGGACAACACTAATATAGACCATTAATAAATACTATAGGCGACCATTTCAGATGAAATGAATAGGATCATTTCAAACAATGGGGGGACGCCTCCCCACCGGCCCAATAAGGATCGACGCCTATCAGTAGCGGATCCAGAATTTAATTATGGAGGGATATATATATATATATATATATATATATATATATATATATATATATATATATATAAAGATAATTACTTTGGAAGAAAAAAAAAGAAACTATCTTTATAAAATGATTCTTGAAGACGTAAATAATTTTAAAAAAATGTAATAACTCGAACAATAATAATTCTCTTCTCTCTCCCCCTCCTTTGTAACGACTTTTATTCTCCCTGCAACACTTAAGGAGACAGGTAGTACTTCTTTTATTTATTTCCTATTTCAGCTTTCTCAATTTCTTCCCTCCTTCCGTTCATTCCTTTTCTCTGTTTTTAACTCTTTATTATATTATACATTGTCTGTACATCTTGATAGAGTTTACAATATCTCAATTTTCTATCTAACTACTCCATTCTCAATGTTTTAATTTTACTATTTATTTTCATTTCTTATATAACTTCATATTTCTTTTTTATGTTGTACATTTTATTCTAAGATTCCCATTGTAACACTTATGTCACCTTTTTTGATTATGCCTACTTCATCATTCTACACTTTGTAACGGTTATTATTATTTATCTCTTAGTTCTTAGTCATTATTCTAACAATTTCATTTTACTTTATATTTATTTATTTTATTTTTCTGATACTTTTATGGATAAAATTTTTCATAAGACATGGTTAAATTTAGTAGCCGTATATGAATTATAATTTTAAAAATAGAACATACTGTGATTATTTTTAGTATTTAGCTTTGATCACTCCAAGTAATAAATATAGGCTAGTAAAAAAAAAATCATTTTTCTATATTGGTACGAGGGGGGGGGGGGGTTTAATTTTTTTCACGATCCCATACATCCAAAACCTGTGATCCATGATTTTAATTATATATTACAATATTAATTAATATTTGTATGTGTTCTTATTAATAAATTATAGAGTATTGTTTATGTTACAGAGCCCAACTCGGATAATGAATAAACAACTGCATCTGTTGGAGAGGTCATGAGTTCTTCGAGTGCTAGTGATCTACTTCTGTCTCCATGCCCTACGTTTCACTCTTTCGTCCTGTGACTCAAGACGGTTGTACGTAAAAATGATTTCATAAATTATACCTTGATCCATGATTTTAATTATACATTACAATATTAATTAATATTAACATGTGCTCTTACTAATAAATTATAGAGTATTGTTTATGTTACAGAGCCCAACTCTGTATTATTTAATGAGTATTATTTAAAAAACGAACTATGTGACGCGATAGAATCTTTTTTTATGGGAACTCAATTTAAAATGAGATATGCCACTCTTGGGTTATGATGCAAAAAATATTGGGTTGTAGGGAAACTAATGCAGGTTTACTTTTTTAAAATAAAACAAATAAAATGAATGATATGAAATTATTTTATTAATTAAAATACTCTCCTTTATTCTGCTAACTTGTTGGTAATTTTTCTTTTCCCTCTGAATATAGTGTTAAACCGTTATTATTCATAAATTCTGAAATTGCATTTTCGACCAATAAACTTTTTCCCTGAAAAAGTGGCCCAGAGATTTAAAACATTATTAGTTTGTAGAAGAGAGATCTGGAGAGCAGAGCGGATGAGGTTTGTTTTTGTTTCAGCAAAGAAATACAGTACAAACTTCATAAGACACATTTTTTGATGGTCGTTTAATACCATGGAGAAACCAAGTTTCATGTTTTTTTTTTACTTTTGTAGTTGCGTTGAGGCGGTCAGCGATTGTCGACTATTGAAAGTCCCTCCCCCCGTAAATCCGCCTGTGGGTTAGCGGATTATGGTGCAATAAAAATGTTAAAACATACATTGTAGATTAGAAAACCAGTATAGTATTTACGATTATTATGATCCTTAGGATGGATGTACAAACATCAAAATAAATTATTTAGAACGAATGAAAGGACCTCGTTAAACTATTTCTAATATCGTATTCTGAACTTTTTTAAAAAATAAAACAATTCCAAAAATTCCTTAAAACATGGTTATATTTTACCATTTTTGGGGGGCTTCAGCCCGAAAGCTTCTCCCCCCCCCCCCCAAAAAAGATCTACCCGTGGACTTCTGCGTTATTCGGATAACCCATTTTTATGCCCTTTTCGATGTGTATTTTTCTTCTGATATGTGTATATTACCAATACTAATGTTTGCACTATAAATAACAAACTACGGTGTTCACTCTATTTATAAGAAATGTAGGTGGAAAAACATGGCTTCTTCGAGTTTCACATCATGTCCTCAAAGAAAATCAATTACGAAATCTCAGTTGCGCCGTTCAATTGTCGGTCAAATTTTTTCCCCTATAATTATATGGTGTGGTGGAGTAAAAAATAGCTAACGGTTGACTAACTACAACGATTGCTGCAACTGTTGAAATGCTCTGTTTAAATGGATGATTATTTGTTTCTTTATGAGGCCTACAAGTGTTTTTTTATTTTTTTATTTAAGGTTAAGTGTCACCCGGTCTGGCTCCGTTTGGGGCCCTCGGTTAGAGTCTGAAGTTGGGCCCCCTTATCAGAACAATATATATACATATACATACTGTACATATACATAATATGGAAATAAAGCAATACAAAACAATTATTTTGGTAGGCCAAATGTACAACGGTACTAGCATTTATCTAGAATTTTGTATTTAAAAGATCTTTGAGTCCCTCAGAGGGGGTTCCCTAACCATTCTGCGGCTATGAAAAAGTACGAAACATTTATCTATTATATATTTTATTACAAAAAATGTGCGGACCTATCGGAGGGGCACCATAATTTTAGAAAAATTAATTTCAAACATATATAGTCGTAGATGGTAAAGGGATTGTCTACATTATCGGACTTAATCATTTCTACAATCTTCAAATAAATTTTCATTCATTGATTTAAACTAAATTTTCAATTGAAAATTAGTCGAATTAAAATTTATTGAAATCAAAATCAGAACAAAACCTTAACATTCCTGGTTTATCGATTTTTGTGCATTTACTATAATGTCGTCGATTCCATTTCTTTTCCAGTAAATAAGATATCCATATTTGTTTATATTTAAAAAAATAAAAATATCTCGGTGCATATTTATACATGAAAGGACTTCTAAGTAATTTTAAAAAAACATTATTTTCATAGGATTGTCGAAACCTGTCATGCAGAGGTAAATTTTATAAAAGTTAAAAAACATTAAACTTATTTACTTTGTAGAAATAATCAACTACAAAAACAGAATGCTGTTAATGAAAAAAAAAATCCAATAAAGTTTTTATTTTAAAAAAATATAAGAGATTTTATTTTTTAAAATTTTTATTTATTAATTTATTTTTTATGCAAGAAATATTGGATATGTTGGGTATTGTATTTTGTATTAGTAATATAAAGTTAGAAATGTTATTTTATCTCTTTTTTTTTCTTTTACTGTTTAACAACTATTCTGGTTCACTGTTCAAACATGATACTTTTAATTTAAATTTTAAGTATACTTGGTTTGGAAACGTTTGTAATTCGTCGTTCCAATCGACTACACTATTAATTAATTCACTTCATTCCTTATGTCGCCGCTGTTCCACAATATATGTGCAATCTGGGCATTTTTAAAAAATATGTGATTCAAGAAACATTTAGATATTTCCATTACTCTCCATATTTTCTACATTCTCTGTTTATTTTCAAATAGAAAAATATTTATTGAATCCGAATATATACAACGATCATGAATCCATATGCAATACTAACTGAATTTCATCGATTACTTGAGTTTAAATCTTTTCCAAAAGAAAATAAATTTGCCTGGATATAGTTGATAAATCCTGCGAACCAAAACCTGAGGGATTTGAGACCAGAATACTAACGCATGGAGGAGAAGGACATTATTTCTTTATTAGAAGTGCTTACAGAAACTGGCCAATAGATATTTCATGGTATGAAGGCAATGAGGTTAAGATGGACGAGACATGTTTCTATATGGTTTGCAAGAGGCCTCGTACTAGGACAGATACCAAATGTATTGGATAGATCGAATCACCAAAGATGCTGTGTGGATAAATGGAACGTAGTTGCCCAAGATTGACAGAAATGGAGCAGGCTGGTTAAGTTAGTAAACAATCTATAAGTTCTGTAAATTCAACAGAAAAAAAAGTTGATAGATGCTTTGTCGCGATGTAATGGTTTCCTTCATTAATAAAGATTAATTTTATATTTAATAAAGTACATACCGTACCTAAACAAATTCGACGGTGATTTTGTGCTATACATTGAAACTAGACAGTTTCGATACTGGGGGATAGTTAAGAAGTTAGATTTTTTTTTTTATGGCCACTGTTATATTCCTGACATCTATTTTACGGACAATTGGTTTAAATGTGGTAATAACCCCCTCCCTTACCAAACCATTTTGAAATATTAACCATCTGAGTGCAAAGCCACGTTGTTACATCATTCTTGTTGTGAACCTTTACAAAGGAATATGATTGCATAATGTTCTCGTGCAGAAAGTCCCATGGGGTCGGCAATTGACATGGAAAGAAATTTAATTGAATTTTAATTCCATTTTAGTCTGCCATGATAAATGGTCCTAGTTGCCGTGCACGTCGAATCGGTTCCTTCTGCAAAAAATGTTACATTAGAAGACTTGTGTTACAAAATTTAGAGAACATTCAGAAATTGAGGCCAATCATTTTTTTTTTCTTTAATATCTGTAATAAAATCAAACTTCTTTAGGTTTTTGTGTGCATAGTTACACAAATACATATATATTCTAAATTATGTATTAACGGCAATCTCAAATCAACCAACAAAAATTCAAGGAGTTTGATTACCAAGAAACCGATTAACCCGGCCATATCATATCTCTTGGATGTTTTTAATCAACCAGCTATTTATATATGCATTAATAAAGATTATTAATACTGGTATGCGTTTCATAGATAATTAAGGTTTTAGCAGTAACGTATCCGGGGTTTAAGTTTAGGAGGATTAATTTGAACAGGCCTACAAGGACATCTTTATATATATATATATATATATATATATATATATATATATATATATATATATATATATATATATATATATATATATATCAAGCTATTTGTATTTAATGAAGCACAACTCCATACCACATTTCTTTATTACCATACATACTTCTTCAATAAACGTTTCTGAGTGTCTCTACGTCTTCAGGCTTTATCTTTTTAAATATCTTTTATCTCGGTTGTGAGTAGATCTTATATCCGTAATATCAACATAATATGATTCAGAGTTTCAAATAAAACTTTAACTTTTTCTTTGATCAGTTTCCATACCATTTATATTATATTGTTTTTGTGTTATTTTGGAAGTAGAAATTTCGTCTTATCCTGTCCTGAACACATTTTTTTTAGATAACGGGGTTGTACTGCGTTTTGTGATTTACGTAGTTGTTATGGTTTTTGAATATTTATTCATTTGTAAAGCTTTGCCCCTACTTTATTTTTAAATAATAGAGCTTTGTTATTCTTTCATCGCGTCGCCCCGTACTTTTATGATATAGAATTCTTTAATCAGATTGTTTACCAACGAGTCCCTCGCTTTTTTTTTTTGTTTAATTATTTATTTTAAGGTGTAGAATTATTTAAAAAGAGGCTGTCGTTGGTAAACAACCTGAGCAATAAAATAGAAAATTTTATCTTTAATATAAAAGGACGAAAGAAGGAGGCTATAAGATGCGTTTAAGCTGAGTAGGGAGTAGTAGGAGGAGGGAATGAAGTTCGATGAGCTTAAGTATTCGTCCTTCAGGAGATATATATATCTGTAAACATTATGTAATATAGTTTTTCTTTTACTTCGGAAAAATTACCATTAAATAAAAAAAAAAATAAGGAAATAAAAACGGCAATCACAGGAACAATAATGAATTTAGGAATTTTTTTTTTTTATAGGTGCTTACAATTAATAGCTGTATGAGCATTATTATTCTAAAAAGAGCACATGTTATCTTTAAGCATTCAGTTCAAATAGAATGGACTAATGCAAGAACAAATATTTGTTTATAATATTTTTTTTTAAATTTTGTTTGTTAGGACGTGAATTCTATTACATATA